TATATATATATATATATATATATATATACTTTATATATATATATATATATATATATATATATATATATATATATATATTACCTTATATATATATATATATATATATATATATATATATATATATATATATATATATATATACATACACAAATATATTAGTAAATGGATAAATGAATAAATGAATAAATAGACATATATATACATATACATACATATGCACACATATATGTATATATTTACATATACATATATATAAATATGTGTGTGTGCACTCTCTCTCCCTTTCTCCCTCTCTCTCTCTTAGCTCCTCAGTCGGCCAAAGAATGGGCAGCCTTTGAGTTCTGCTGCTGTTGTCTTGCTCTTGAGGTGTTTATGGAGCCTCTTAACTGTGACCATGATAGTATGCTCTTTTTTCGCTACTAGTCACTTTATTCGTCTATTTTTTATTCCAAGGCCAATCTCGAAACGATCAGAGTACTGGTATTTGCCTGGAATTTCAGAAAAGAGGAGGGTGCCGTATTAGTTAGGGTCTGTAGCGGTCCTGTCCATGAGTCGGTCCAGCCTCTCGTCATCAGTGAACAATCCGGTGGGTTCTGTAAGGTCTGGGTTAAGGAGTGGGCATCAGGGGCACATAGAGGCCTGGTTAATGAGTGGTTTCCAGGCATTGGTGGTGGCTTGTTTTCTGGGCGGTCTTTTGGGCCACGGGCCTATATGGCTTTGCTTCTTTTACTTTTTCTTTCTCCCTAATTTTTTGGCAGTTGTGTGACCAGCATCCATCCCAAATGACAAATAGAAGTTGTATTAACAAGGCTGAGAATTGGGCACACAAGACTGACTCATGGGCCGATGATGGCTAAAAGTGAAGCACGCTGTGAGGAATGCCAAGAGCCATTAACGGTCGCACATATAGTGGAAAGATGTGCAACACTCTCAGACCAAAGACGAAGGTACTTATTAGTTTCCTTAGGGAAACTAATATTTTCAATAAAATTTAAGTATGCATAATGTTTATGCAATAATTTTTAGACATTTAGAGCATAATGTTTATGCTTTGATTTTTAATATAATGTCCTGTGGGCACCGTCGCATTTCTTTACGGAACTTTTACAGCCCCTATAGGAGTGGTGAGTGTCTAGCTCCGACTCCTTGACGACTTGTCGGTCTAGTTTTTTGAAGACAAGCGTGAGCTTAGCCTTCATGTCCACTGGAAGGACAGAGGGGAAACCAAGTTTCTTCAGGGACTGGACGACATCCTGTGAGAAGAGCTTTTCAGCATGGACGTCGTCTTCGATCAAGGCCAGGTAACCACCATGGAGGGTGAAGTACCAGAGTACTGTACTGTTCTCTGCACTGAAAAGTGCAGAGAGGGGGGGGGGGGGCACCGAGAGCTTTGATTTTAATTTTGGTCATGTTCAGGGGTGCATGGGTCTGGTGAGATGCCGAGTGAGTGATATGATTGAGGTGAGGGGTGAGAGGTGGGATGATGGAGGGAGAGTGAAAGTGGGGAAAATAGGAGCCTATACTCGACCCCCCCCCCCCCCCCCTAGTGACAGATTGGTTGCGCTCTCCAGTGCACCAGAGGACCGGAGCTCTAAGTTTAGCTGCTCCCTAATTGCCAATCCTTGCTACAAAAGGGCAACATGTAAGCAGCGCACCACTCAGACGAATACAAAATTCCTCGAGGGACTTATGCAGGTCCAGGTGACAACTAGAAAGGGAAAGGAATTCAGGAGGAGAAAAGCACATCTATATGTCACCTCAGACTGCAATTAGTGAAATGGGTGTGTATTCGAGTATAGGTCTTACAGTGGTTTTGTAGAGTTTAAGTTTAGTGGGTGTTGTGCAGTATGAGAAGCATTTGAGTTTCTTGAGAGCTGTGCTTATGTCCATGGATTGGTCCAAGTACATAAAATCCCACTTCTCCATTTGCACTTTATACAAGATATATAAAGGTTATAAAGATTTTTATTCTGTATATATATGTAAAAGGTTTCTTTAGAAAAATAAATTTTAAGGATAAGTCCGATATGCGAAGCTGAGCTTCGCCCGGGCTATGAGGGGAGCCCGGCCTGTGCTGACTAATGTCGACTCGCTAACAGTGTGTCAGCAGGTGCTGACTCGGGTGAGCTTAGTCCTTACCCACCGTGGTGCCCAGCCACAGCAGTAACCCCCAGGAGACAATTGCAACTTCTCGCGCCTGGGCGGAGCGCGAACTGCCGACCCCTCGGATGAGAGGCCGACACGTTACCACTGTACTAGCCCAGAGGCTGAAAATTGTAAGTATCTCCCTTTTCTTTATACGAATGTCCTGAGGTATTTCCCGAGATTGGTCAGAAGCTGGTCACCTCATGATTATTTTATTATTAAAAATATCTGCCGCGTCAACAGCTAAGGTTATATTATATAAAAATCAAAGTATAAACATTATGCTCTAAATGCTAAAAACTATTGCATAAACATTATGCATAATTAAATATTATTGTAAATATTAGTTTTCCTAAGGAGACTAATAAGACCTATATCACAATCTTCCCCCAATACATTTTTCAGTGTATATAGGGGAGACAAGTACCTATATCTTTGGTCTGAGAATGTTGCACATTTCTCCACTACATGTACGATCGTTAATGGCTCTTGGTATTCCTCACAGCATGATTCACCTTTAGCCATCATTGGCCCATGAGACGGTCTTGTGTGCCCGATTCTCAGCCTTGTTGATACAACTTCTGTTTGTCTGTTGGGATGGATACTGGTCACCCAACTGCCAAGATCATCTCTAATCTCTCGCAGTTTGTTTCAAAAGGTATGCCTCCATTGTTCCCTCCATTTATCGCAAAGACAACTCCTGATTCTGGGTTTCAAGTCACCTCATGAGATGGCTTCCCTTGCTTGGGAATGAGAACAAATGAGGCTTGTCTGAAGTTGGCAGGGAAGTGTCCTATAGCCAGGTATAGTAGATGGTGTGTGGTTGCATCTACTATTTACGCTGGTGTCTTATCTCTTTGGGGAGTGGCTGTGTGGGTGTGAGTACCCACAGGTATGGCTGGGTGACTGGAGGCTGAAGTTGATCTAAAGTCGGCTAAGGACTGGGCAGTCCTTGTGTGCTGCTGCTATTGTCTTGCTCTGCAGGAGGATCGGGGATTGCCAATCTCACTTCTGGCTTCTGCGGCTTAAGTACAAGGGCGCTGTGTAAATGGCAGAAAAAGAGGGGAGTGTGCTGTCCAATGAGCGCGGAAATGGCGGCGGACCTGGCGTGACCCAACTTGTGAAAGTATGCTGAACTTCAGGTTGCAGGGTCTTGCTGCTACAGGTACCCCCCTCCAGAGAGTTAGTTAAGTTAACAAGTGATAAACCGTGATGTGTCACTCTATTTGCTGGGTCACTCCGAGAGTTCACCAGTATAGTAGATGGTGTGTGGTTGTATCCACTACTGCTGTTTGGGATTTGCGAAGTTCTACCTTCACCTGGGCTTTCCATATATGGCCTGGCTTGTGTCAGCTTTTTATGGCTGTCTCATTTTATTCTCTGACAATTTGTGCTTACCGTAGCGGTTGGATTGCCAGCAGGAGCTCCTGCCGCCATGGTGTAAGCATACCGTATAATCTCAGCATGGCGGCTGTTGTCGGCGTTCCCTGTCTCAGGAATTGTGTGCGCTCACAATTCTGTAAGTAATGTACAAGTAATGTACATTCGGCTCGCCGCAGTGCATGCAACACCTCTCTTCAAGGTGTATTGTTTCTATAATCTGCCATTCACAGTAGAAACCTGTGAATTATTTTGATTATTTTAGAGTGCCAGTGGTTCATAGCCTGTGGCATCTGACTATCAGCTGGCCGAGGGAGAGGATCTCGTTTCTTCTCTGTGAAGAGTGCAGGAGGAAGGTATGAGCGGCCGCAGTACACTTCTTCTTTAGTAGTTTTTTGCTTGGTTGTGTGATCATGGGATATGGGGGCATATGATGGCTAGTCTACCAGCAAGCTCATTCCCTCTGATGCCAATGTGGCTGGGGATTATTCTTCTACCATGAGCAAGAATTCTCTATGCTATGGTAAGCACAGGAGGTAGATGTCTTTGGGTGAGCTGTGCTGAAAACAGTCAATGGCTGCCCTGGAGTCTGTATGACAAAGTGTCCTTCCCTCAGGGAAGCGTGGGCTACGGCTCCTATAATTGCAACTGCCTCTGCCTGTTTGTCTGCATTGTCTGTTACCCTCATGGATTTTGTATCATCCCTTGCTCTATATTCACAGAATGCAATTACGTTTCTACTGTGCATGGCAGATTATAAAAACAATAGAGCGTTAAGAGAGGTGTTGCATGCATTGCGTAAAGCCGAACACCACACTTGACTATTTTTTTGTCTTAGGCTTGTGGTCCTGGAAGCCTGGATGACCTTTCACAGGAATTGTGCTGCCATTAGATCAACTCATGAGTCCAGGGGGAGGAGATTTGCCTCCAAGAGGAAGTTGAGGACCTTCGTCCACCTTGGGGCACCCAGAATGATCCTGGCAGCTTCATTTTGGACTGTCTCCAATTTGTCTTTGTATTTTTTCTTTAAGGCAATTAGTGCGACTGAGGCATAGTCCACGATGGGCCGGACAGCATGTACATAGAATGATATTAGTACTTTGTGTCTGGCTCCTATGTGTCTCCCAGTCATTACTCTCATGAGAGACAGTCTTGCTTTGGTTTGGCTACCCTGTGGCGTTCTATTTTCTAGTGGCATGTGCTGTGATAGGTGACCTTGGAATTTGACTCTGGCTGTTCTGTTCCTAAAGTAGTCACCTATCTAAGCCAAGAGCTTTCCTCTATTTCCCTTCTGGACCAGGCTCTCCTGAATGGCAAGTGGACTAGGAATACCACCACAGATGTGCCAGTGCTGATTGAGATTAAGAGCGTGGCTATGCTGTGTGCTGTGCTCTTGCCCCTTGTGAACCCATGGAGGTGTTCATGTGGGGGTCTCATTTTCCATTGGAGTCGGTTTAGTACCATCCTCTCGGCTGTCTTGGCCAGACAGCTGAGGAGAGAGATGGGGCGGTACTTCCCTGGCTCCTTTGGTTTTGGGGTGGGAACTATGGTAGCCCTCTTCCAGCTCTGGGGAAGAATGGAAGTTTCCCAGGACTTGTTGATGAGTTGCAAGAATGCAAGCTCACTTACTAGTCCTAGGTGGTTTTTGTAGTTTTTTTTTTTTTTGTTGCCTCAGAAAAAAAGATAACATCTGAGTTATTGGGTTTGGCTGACCTTTCGCTGATATGAGCAAGTCTGTCTGGTTGTAAGCATTCTTGTCTTGCCCTCGGTTCGGCTGGCAGACTTGCTGCTTGTTCTGTGCCAGTCTGTTTGTGTGCACCTCGGGGCTGAGCAACTGGTAGCTCACCTGACCCGTTGCCATAGCTCTGAAAGGGGGGTTTTCCTGCCTGACTCTGTTGGCAATTTCCTTGTCATCCCTGACAGCCTCCCTTAGGAGGGCTAGGTTGTGTGGAGTTTTAGACATGGTCAGTGAGGCTGCTTGATTAATGGCATTCATAAATCTGCCATTTCAGGCAAGGTGTTCTGAAATGCCTGCCAATTGGCTTGTATTTGGTTGTTTGGCTGGGCCAACATCCATGAGGGTAGTTATAGTGCCATAATGGTCGCTTGTGACAGTGTAAAGGGTGTGAATTGACCTATTATACATTGGTGACAGAACAGTAAAAGCTTGGTGGCTTGAGACTCTTTATTACTAAGAGTTAAGCACACAGATATATTAATAAACACACGCGAGACAAGTCTTAGGAACAAGCGCGCGGTCAACGGGAAGGCCTGTGGTCAGCCCTGGCGGGGGGGGGGGGGGGCAGAAGGGACCTCCGACGCTTAGATGACCTTGACCCGTCAGCGGTGGGGCACAGACTCTCTTTTGACTCAGTCACCCTCAGCCTTAAATATCCGATTGTCACTTCAGGCCCTATCTGTGTGTTTTTCTTTTCTTTTCAGCATGTTATAGCGCTAGCTGCACAGATTCAGCCTGGTATGGCTCTGTCTGTGAGGGCATGGCTTGGGGTGGAGTGGGGAGGATGGGGCTGGTTTGGCTGGTGTGTTTCCGTTGATCTGACCACTCTGATACCTTTAAGTCGGACCCTGACATTGGCGACCTTGCCAGGATCAGACGGTCTGGAAAACGGCACCATGAGGAACTACGTGGAGGAAGGTGAGATGCTGGACCTTGAAGGCATGGCCTTCTATCACTAGGAAGCTCTGTGGAGGAACGTGGGGACGCGTCAGAGGAGCTGCCTGCCGAGGACGTACCTGAGGAGCTGCCTGCCGAGGACGCACCAGAGGAGCTGCCTGCCGAGGACGCACCAGAGGAGCTGCCTGCCGAGGACGCACCAGAGGAGCTGCCTGCCGAGGACGCACCAGAGGAGCTGCCTGCCGAGGACACGCAGGAGGAGCTGAAGACGCACCGGAGGAACAGCTGGTGGGTGCAGGATGTGCGCCTGAACAATCAGCTAGCTTGGGATATCCACCCAAGGATCTGGTGGGTATCGATCTGCCGCAGGAACTGCCTGCTGAGGACGCGTCGGAGGAGCTGACAGCTGAGGACATGCTGGAGGAGCTGCCTGCCGAGGGAGCGCCGGAGGAGCTACCTGCCAAGAACGCGCTGGAGGAGCTGCCTGTCAGGGACGTGCTGGAGGAACAGCTGGTGGGTGCAGGATGTGCACCCGAACGAGCAGCCAGCTTGGGATACCCGCCCAAGGATTCGATGAATATGTGTCTGCCTGAGAAAATGCTGTCCGAGGATACTCTGGAGGAGCTGCCTGCCGAGGACGCGCAGGAGGAGCTGCCTGCCATGGACGTACCGGAGGAGCTGCCTGCCATGGACATAGCGGAGGAGCTGCCTGCCATGAACATAGCGGAGGAGCTGCCTGCAGAAGACGTACTGGAGGAGCTGCCTGCAGAAGACATACCAGAGGAGCTGCCTGCAGAAGACGTACTGGAGGAGCTCTCTGCCAGGAACGCGCCGGAGGAACAGCTGGTGGGTGCAGGATGTGTGCCCGAACGGTGGGCTTGGGATACCCGTCCAAGGATCTGGTGGGTACCGGTCTGCCGAGAGAGTTACCTGCCGTGGACATGCCGGGGAAGGATACGCCGGATGACCTACCTGCCGAGGACGCGCCGGAAGAGCTACCTGCCGAAGGCGCACCTGAGGAGCAACTGGTGGGTGCAGGATGCGGACCCGAACGACCAGTTGGCGTGGAGGAGCTACCTGTCCAGGACGTGCTGGAGAAACTGATGTACAAAGGCACCCTGGAGGAGCTGCCCCCTGAGGACGCACGGGAGGAGCTGCCGTCCAAGGAGAAACCGGAGGAGCTGCCATTCGAGGAAAACCCGAAGGAGCTGCCGTCCGAGGAGAAACAGGAGGAGCTGCAGTCCGAGAAGCAGGAGAAGCTGCCGTCCAAGGATACCCTGGAGGAGATGCCGTCCGAGGAGAAACCGGAGGAGCTGCTGTCCGAGGAGAAGCAGGAGGAG